AAAAAAAAAAAAAAAAAAAATAGGTACACTGGACTTCATCAAACATGAAAACTTTTCTGCAAAGATACTATCACCAGAGTGAAAAGATAACCCATGGAATGGGAGAAGTACTTGTAAATTACTAATATGATAATGACTAATATCCAAAATATATCAAGAATTCATACAATTTAACAACAACAAACCCTACCTCATTAAAAATGGGCAAAGGTCTTAAATAGAAGACTACATCCAAAAACATAAAAATAAATTAAAAAAGAAGACCACACACAGAAGGCCAATAAGCAAACAAAAAGATGTTTAACATTGCTACTCATTAGGGAAATGCGAATCAAAACCACAGTAAAATAACACTTCAACCCGACAGAATGGCTATGATCAAAAGTAACAGTAAGTATTAAGTACTGGCCAGGATGTGGAACGACGGAACCCTTCGTGGCTGGAAACGTAAAATGGTGCAGCTGCTGTGGAAAATGGTATGGCGAGAACCTCAGAAAGTGACACATACCCACGCCAAGACACATTCTAATTAAAATGTCAAAAGGCCGGGGCGCCTGGGTGGCGCAGTCGGTTAAGCGTCCGACTTCGGCCAGGTCACGATCTCGCGGTCCGTGCGTTCGAGCCCCGCGTCAGGCTCTGGGCTGATGGCTCAGAGCCTGGAGCCTGTTTCCGATTCTGTGTCTCCCTCTCTCTCTGCCCCTCCCCCGTTCATGCTCTGTCTCTCTCTGTCCCAAAAATAAATAAAAAACGTTGAAAAAAAATTTAAAAAATAAATAAATAAATAAAATGTCAAAAGGTAAAGAAAGGCAAGGAGAGAATGTTAAAAGCAGCAAAAGAAAAACCACCTGTTGTGTATAAAGAAACCCCCATAAGACTATCGGCAGATTTTTTAGCAGGTTTGCAGAACAAAGGGGGCGGCACGATATATTCGAAGTGCCAGAAGGAAAAACTTCCAAACAAGAATACTCTACCAGGAAGTTATCATTCAGAGTTGCAGAAAGAGTCTTGCAGACAAGCAAAACTAAAGAAGTTCATCACCTCTGGACCAGCCCCACAAGGAATGTTAAGGGGCCTTCTTTAAGCAGAAAAGAGTGCTAATTAGTAACACCATACGAAAGTATAAATCTCACTGAAATAGGTAAATATATGTATTATAAAGGTAGTAGATCACTTTACAAAGCTAGTAGGAAGATTTCAAGACAAAAGCAGTAAAACTATAACTACAAGAATTAAAGGATTTACAAGGTAAGAACACGTAAAATATGACATCAAAAAACCTAAGATGTGGCAGACAGTAGTAAAAATGTAAAGCTTTAAAATTCAATCACACTTAAGTTGTTATCAGCTTAAAATAGTCTTCCAGTTAGTGCACAAGGATGTGGTGCCACAGCACAGGGACTACAGTTAATACCACACTGCATATTTAAATGGTTTACTTATGTTTGAGAGAGAAAGAGCAGGAGCAGGAGAAGGGCAGAGAGAAAGGAAGACAGAGGATCCAAAGTAGGCTCCGAGATGTCAGCATAGAGTCCGATATGGGTATCGAACTCAAGAACTGTGAGCCCATGACCTGAGTCAAAGTCGGACGCTTAACCGACTGAGCCACCCAGGGGCCCCTGGTATTGCATATTTATTTTTTTTTTTAACGTTTATTTTTTATTTTTGGGACAGAGAGAGACAGAGCATGAACGGGGGAGGGGCAGAGAGAGAGGGAGACACAGAATCGGAAACAGGCTCCAGGCTCTGAGCCATCAGCCAAGAGCCTGACGCGGGGCTCAAACTCACGGACCGCGAGATCGTGACCTGGCTGAAGTCGGACGCTTAACCGACTGCGCCACCCAGGCACCCCGGTATTGCATATTTAAAAGTTGTCAAGAGTAGAGCTTAGAAGTCCTCAACACAAGAAAAACATTTTTAACTATGTATGGTGACAGATATTAACCAGACTTACTGCGGTGATTTTACAATATACACAAATATCAAATCACTAAGCTGTATACCTGAAACTAATACATCCATCACACCTCAATTTGTTTTAAAAAATGTACTGATAAACTCTGTAGCTTCTGGGACAAGCTTGAGCAAGATTAAAATACAACAGGTTGGGGACACCCTGCGTGGCTCAGAGAGTTAAGCGTCCAACTCTTGTTTTCGGCTCAGGTCATAATTTCATGGTTTGTGAATTCAAGCCCCACCGTCATCACAGAGCATGCTTGGGATTCTCTCTCTCTTCCTCTCTCTCTCTCTGCCCCTCCCCTCCCCTTCCCTGCTCGTGCTCACTCTCTCAGAATAAACATTTAAAAAAAAAAAACTTTTTAATACAGCAGGTTGTAATAAATACTAATAACTAGAAAAATTTTCAAGTAATTAAGTATGACTAGTAGAAAAATTAAATCACATAATAATTTCATAGTTCACATTAATATTTTAATACTATCTTCAAACAAGGAAGGAGACTCTGGATATAGAAGAGAAATAAATATTGGTGAAATGAAGCATCACAAAAACCAGTCTAAGACTTTAAGCTTTTGTTTTAGAGACAGAAGGTGCACATACAGACAAGAAGAGGGGAGAGGGACAGAGGGACAGAGAATGTCAAGCCAGCTCCACACTCAGCATGGAGCCTGATGCGGGGCTCGATCCCACGACCCTGGGATCATGACCTGAGCCAGAATCAAGAGTTGGATGCTCAGCCAACTGAGCCACCCAGGTGCCCCTAAGTTAAGGTTTTCAAAAGGACTGAAAATTTTAAAAAGATTGTTGTGAACATTAAACACAACTGAAGAAAATTTTTTAAATTCATTTATGCTTGAAAAGAAAAAAGTTAAACACAGAATCGCTACATAATCCACCAATCCCACATCTGGGTATGTACGCAGAAGTGAAAGCAGGAACCTGAACAGGTATTTGTAAACCTATGTTCAAAGCCAGCAGCAGTATTCACTGCCAAAAGTGAGAAACAACTCAAAAGGTAGAAACAACTCAAATGTCCACTGTAGCCAAATGGATAAAAACAATGGGATCCATACACGCAACACAGTATTACTCAGCCTTAAAAAGGAAAGAAATTTGGACACATCCTACCACATGGAAGGACCTTTAAGATACCATGTAGTTGGGAGGTCAGTCCAGGGGATCCTTCACATGACCACAGTCGGCCCTCATCTGACTGCAACCCCAAGCAAGAACACAAGCAAATAACTGCCCAGTGTACCCCCAAACTACAGAATTGTGAGATATCATTAATTAAGTTACTAAGTTTCAGGATGGTTTGTTAGTCATATAGGACCGAGAAAGATTTTACAATAATAAACTGTTGGAAGCTACTAAGTTTTGGGGTGATCTGTTACATAGCCATAGGTCACCCCAGCTATCCCTCAGTAACTGACAGAGCAGATTAGTTAGTAAGGCCACAGAAGAGCTGAACAATACTACCATTGGGTAACTGACATTTACCCAGCGTATAAAATGCACTCTTTTCAAAAGTCCATGGAATATTCACCAAGACAAACCATATGCTTATCAGAGCCCTATGTGTAAAAGCTAACACTATTAACCTTTTAGACAAAATACAGAAGTGTATCTCTCCAAAACCGTGGGATAAGCAAATGTTTCTTAAGCAAAACACCAAAAGCAGCAACCATAAAAAAGAAATGGATTCCATCAAAATTTGAAACTTCTGCCCATCAAAAGACACCATGAAGAGAATAGGTAAGCCAAAAACTAGCAGAAAATAGTCATAAAACATGTATCTGTATATCTGACAAAGAACTTGTATTCAGGAATATATAAAGAACTCCTAGAATTCAAAAATAAGAAGGCCAGCAACCTAATTAAAACATGAACAAAAGATTTTTACACATACTGCACAGAGAAATATACGGGCTGTAAGTCTATGAAAAGATGTTCATTACCTTTAGTTACCAGGGAGCTATAAATAGAACCACAATTAAATACTGAAATACTACTACACCTACAAGAGAATGGTTACAATTTAAAACACTTACAATAAAAAAGGCTTCAGGACATTTGGAAATACTTGGCATTTCTAAAGAACTTAACCATACATTTACTCTTACTATTCAGCCCTTCTACTTCAGGTATTTACCAAGAGATGTAACCTTTATTTACTCAGGAGAAATAACACAGACCCAAAAAAGACTTGTGCAGGTGCCTGGGTGGCTCAGTTGAGTAAGTGTCCGACTTTTGATCTCAGCTCAGGTCATGATGTCAGTTCATGGGATTGAGCCCCACACTGCTCAGCGCTGAGCCTGCCTGGGATGCTCTCTTTTTCTGTCTATGCCCCTCCCCCACTTGGGCGCGCAAGCATACTTTCTCTCAAAAAAAAAGACTAGTCAGAGCAGTTTTATTCTTAATAGCCCGAATTTGGACACAAATGGTGGTATATTCAGACAAACGAAGATCATCACCAATGACAAACTACTGATTTCTGCAGCAACAACGACGAATCTAAAAACTATCCTCAGCGCAAGAAGCCAGACACACTCTCATGACTCCATCTACATGACATACTCGAACAAGCAAAATTAACCTACTGTGATAGAATTTTCAAAGGTGGTTGTGCACACATGGAGGAGATGGAATAGGAGGACTGGCTAAGAAGGGGCACTAGGTGACTTTCCTGTGTGAGAAAAACACTGTGCATCTTCGTAAGGGTGGTGGTTACATGTTTAAAAGAATTCGTCAAAATGCACTGAACTGTATGCTTAAGATAGGTGCCGTTAATTAAGATAGGTGCTTTTAATTAAATTAGACGGGTGCTTTTTTAAAAATTAAACGTTAAAGATTTACTTCAGCAGCAGTAATCTGGCAACTTCATTGTTCCATTTTTGCCTAGAACAACGCAAGTGCTCAAACCCCATACTACTCTAGTTTATGTGGTACAGTGATATTCTCCGAGTTTTGTCCTGACTTCTTACCTTGTTAACTTCTGGTGTGAGGATCTCTATTTTTCTTAAACGCTGAAATGCATCATAATCAGTTTCTCCAAATAGTCTGATTGGTTCTCCTCTTTCTCTCAATCTTCTGATAACCTAGTAAAAAAATCAGTAATAATAGTAATCCCTATGTTTTTAGTAATAATAATTCCTCCTTTAGGTTACCAAATACATTATTTCAAAATTGAAATGCAAAGTCAGTTGTCCTTATTTTTTCTTCAATTTTCCGTGAACAGATCTAGTGAGTTACTGTCACATCTGAAAATCTCTAACGTGTTTTGCGTACTTTGGCTGTTTCGGCAAAGGCTCCATCTGGATAACAGAATACCTAAGAAAAGCATGAAGATGGGAGGGAGTGGTAACTTTTAAATACAGAAGGAAAATAAAGTCTAGAGTCATCCAAGAACTCACTGACCAGAGCCTGGAGTCAGCACTGTAATGCCACATTAAAAACCAGAAACTTACCCTCAGAAGAGATGGGAGTTAGGATCAGGGCGGGGCACCGGTAAGGCTTTTGAGGGGCTGGAAATACAGTTTCTTGACCTGGGTGATCGTTACCTGGGTTTTGTTTTGTCATCACCCATTATATTGCACACGCATGTTTTATACACTCTTTGTATCCATGTTGCATCTCATAAGAAAAAAATAAATTTTAATTGTGAAAAATAAAGGTTGATCCAAAATTGTTCCCAAGTAACAAGAAAGAATTTTATCTGGAAACATAAATAGTGGCACAGAAACCATTGGTGGGGCTCCCACTGAATTAACCAAAGCTTCGTATTAAAAAGATGCTTAAGAGGCCATCCAACGCTATCTCCAATCAAGGCAGACATGACTTCCAAAACACCTCTGCCAGGCCCGTCGGACAAATGCCAGGGATCACACCTCGTCATGAAACAGGCCGTCCCAATTTTGGACACATACTTTCACATATGTTTTACTTCTCAAAATAAACTAAAACCTCCCTCCCTCAGAATTCTACCAATATGCCTTAGTTCTACTTTATGCAACCACAAGAACACTAAATTCTTTTCCAAAATTACAGCTACTGTCAATGGATTTTTTTTCTTTTATGTCCCCAATGTTCTTCTCTTGGGGCTAGGTATTCCAAGTTCCTTTCACCTAATTTTCACATGACAGCTTTTAGAGTCAGCTCATCCTTTCCTCTGTAAGTTTCCTTTTGTTCATAGTTCATTTTTGTTTTGTATCGCTCTATATAGTTTGAATTCTTTATGTCACATGACTTTCTTGAGATTTTTTTTTTGTTGTCGTTTTTGGCTTTTTAAGAAAAAGAACAGTTGGTCCTGACTAGAGTCTAAAAAGCACTGTAGCTGAGAGCACAAAGTAGCATGACCTGTCTACAGAGCCTGGCGGTCCTATGTACCCCAAGTCGTAGAAACGTTCAGTCTTTACTCAACAGACTGCAGAAACCATGCTTCTCACAAATCTTCCAAAAGAAATAACCATACGTTAGCATGCACGCAACGCCATCTGTAGAAGGATGCTCATCTTAGTATGATTTCTATGAGGGATGTGCTAAAGCAATCTAAAGGACCATTACTATTTGGTTTTTAAAAGAATAATTGGCTTTAAAAACATTATGGGAAATTATGTAGTCATAAAAAATTATACAGATCTCTGTGTTCTGACCTATTAAGACATATTCAGAGAAAGTTATAAAACTGTATTTTTAAAACAATTTAGGGGTGCCTGGGTGGCTCAGTCGGTGAAGTGCCTGACTCCTGATTTCGGCTCAGGTCATGAGCTCATGGTTCATGAGATTGAGCCCCATGTCAGGCTCTGCACCATTAGCGCAGGCTGGGAGTCTCTCTCTCCCTTTCTCTCTGTTCCTCTCCTGCTTGCACTCTCCTCCCCTCTCTCCAAATAAATACACATTTAAAAAACTAAAAATAAATAAAGTAAAATAATTTAGACAAGTAACTTAAGTATAATTACTTAGAATGTATACACTTATTTAGAACAATGTGTTTAGTTTCTAAAGTTTAGAAACATATATTCTTTCAAAAGCTCAAGAATAACAAGAAAAGCAAAGATTTAGAACTTCATGAATACTGCACAGTATTTTAATCCAGTAGGTCACGTTATGTAGGCAATAATGACATAAAACTTACTGGAAAGAAATGGAAATAAATGCAAATGCTCTGGAGGTTTTTCTTTTTTTCATGAAACACTCATACATAAACTTACCTCTTGCCTAGAAAGAGTCATGGGTAACTTTTCCTCTGCAAGTTCAAGTTCTAACACAGGATTCGAAGAAGTTAATGGTTTCTGGTTCTCCTCTTTTGGCTGTATCTATATTAATAGCCAAAAGAAATCAAATTCAGCTTTTACAGTATAATACAGCTAGTACTGATCATTCTATGCATTAACTGCTCATGGAAATAAACAGGTTTTCAATATTGGAGGTTTTCTAAATGTTCCACTGAGGAACTCCTAATAAATGTGCCTGCATTTGAGAACTCATCAAACTTCTCCATCTCAGGGACACAGCCAGCAAGCACACACACAAGGAGATAGCACTCTTGCTACTGAAAAGCGACAGATGTATAATGATTTCCAAAATCTAAAACTTACAAGGGCTGAAATTTAGGCTCGTTTCTCCCTAGACTCGAAACAAGTTAAACTCTTTTCTTAAAAACCATCCACTTGCTTCTCCTCTTTGAGAAAACCACCTCATAGGGTTGTTTGATCCTTGTTCTGGGTTTTAATGAAATAAACAAACAAACAAACAAAGTGTTTTCTAAGAAATCTGTGAAGCCTCAAGCTCCTGCTTTTCCCTACCCTCCTTTTTGAAAGGGAGGATTCCAAGAGCACCGAGACCACTGCTGGACATGTGGAAGTACTCCCAAAGCTACACACAATTTGCCAACAGACCGAGCTCTGAACCTTGGGGGGAAATAACAGCACCTTTCTACTCATACCCCACCCCCGCTCCCAAGAATGGACATTCTTGTATGTATGAACCTGCGGGGTGGGGAGGGAGGGATCTTTTCACGTATTGAGTCTGCTGTCCAGCTCACAGTTTAGGAAAATTAAGTTCAACAATTCGTAAGCCCCAAGGTGTAGTCTGTAAAAAGATACTGGAACATGGTTTCCCACCTGATCATAGGACTAATTTCAAATGCCAAAAGATTAACAAAAAAAATAAAAAATAGAAGGCCAACATTAAAGAAATACTCACATTCCATTAAGAAGGCTATAATGGTTAAAAATGATATCATTTCTGATTCTATAGTTCATGGCTAACTGTTATGTTAATGTTAACAGAGCTGACAGAAAACTGAGGTACAAAAATCAACTCCTGTATTTTCACAAACGAAATCGGCATCAAGCCTTAAAAATGGAACCTAGTTTTCATAAGAGAATGGAAGTGATACATGCTGCATTTTCATTACTACCAAAAAGGAAATATTAAACACGATTTAGAAAGAAAAGCCTGTGCTTTCTCTTTAAGCATAAAAACAGGCATTTCTCCAAAACTCTCGGGATGACAAGCACTCTTAATTACAGAATGCCAGTTACATTCTGTCCGCTGGACCCAATGCCACCAGCAGTGTCTCTACAGTAGTTCCTCTGCTTTAGTGCTTTTCTCTACAGAAGCAAAAAAGTACTGACCTATAACGGAAGCAATGTAAACAAAGCAAAACCGCCTGGTTTTAATTCTTTTCCTACTTGACCAAAACGTTGAAAAGGTTCAAATTTAGGCATCTGGGAAAGCAACAAGTCAGCAGACTAAATCCATGGTAAACGATTCTCATTCCAGACCAAGTGTGAGTTAGACAACAATGGACAAGAAAAGATGAGAATTCTTCTGTCCTGGTATCCATTCGCTGGCTATTTACATAAAATGTATTTTATTTTTCCTAAGCTAAAAGCGAATGAAATCAATACATTTATGGAAAATATCAAAATAAAAATGCAAACTTTTGTATTTTAGACATCCATCAGAAACATAAAACTACATTTCCAATACCTGCCCCCTGCCCACACTACGAAATAAAACCAAATGCATATACATACCATTCGCATTCCTCATGCTTCCTTTTAGAAATGCTATGCCAGATAAATTGATCTCCAGACTTTCCCCATTACATGCACAAGAGTATTATATTATACACATGGTTCACAAGCAAAAAGTTACTGTCAAATTTAGGATTTGGCACAAGTATTTCAACACAATTTCTCGGTCTTGTTTAAGAAAGTATTAAACTAGATACAGTCTTCTTTTAAAACGATTTAAACATCAACTTCACCTCATAACATTTAACCCCTCCCAATAAAAACCCCAATATGTTACTCAACTAGGAGAAGAGTTGGATAGGATAATAATAGGGTAACCTCAAGGACACTTTGAGTCATGCCTCTGAAATAGACAGTCTTCCAGGCCACTCATTCGTTTCTAATATTTCTATACATTCTCTACACACTAGACCTTATCACACAAAAGCACAGTGTTACATGGCATTCTGCCTCAGGCAGAGGTACTTGGGGCCAAAAGGAACTATTAACAATGCAAACATAAAAACAATGGCTTAAAATATTCCAGTGAAAGTGGGGAAATACCACAAGGTGCTACACCTCGGTTGTGGTCGAATGAGTAAAATGTTTTGAAACCCTTTAAAATGGACTTTTATTGGGAGAGGTGGGGGGAGGAGCTGGTGGTTGGTGGAGATGAAGATGAGGCAGAATCAGACCCAAAAAATTCAAAGAAACAAAATTCAAGCTTTGATCTCAAGCCACTTCATGCTGTCCACAAAAGCCAAACCATTCCAAGCCAGAAGGCATGCATGTATTTGCCTGAATTCAAGATTTAAAAAAAAAGAAAGAAAAAAGAAAAAAGCTCCTACCTCTCCCGATGGCTTCTCATTTATAGGCTAACGTATAACATTGATAAATTGAACAGAGATCAATAATTTTGTCACTTTAACAAAAGCTATATAAATTTAAACTCAGAAATATACGACTTAACACAAAAGCAGAGAGCCCTACCTTGTAGCCACATCTTTCAAAATATGCTTCCTCTTCTTTTTTGGCAAGTTCACTACGCTTGAAATACTTTTTATTTTCCTATTGAAGAGAGAAGTACGTTAATAGGTCCCTGGATAAAATTTCATGTTCCGTAGGCAACCTACCAACACTTGAGTTTATCAAGAGCATGGTAAAGCCGGGTATATTATACTGAATCCCTCGACATGCCATCTGTCTTCTATCTGCTCTAAATATGAAGTCTTTTTCTTGCAGTATCATTTTAACAGGCATATCCAGCAAAGAGAAGAAACCAACAATATTTTCCAAATGTTCACGTTGTTTTCATTTAATTTCCCAATGTTTAGGTTCAATGATAATTTCTACAAATGAATTCATTACAAACTACAAAAAATAGGACGCTTTAATTATTTTCTTCCAACAGAAACAATCAAAGATTATGGTTAACTGTTATCTGACATCTTAACTGCCATTACCCAGAGAGCTCCTAGGGTGTGTCCAAAATCTTTTTTGTCACTTGGAATCTTTCTGTACCAATTAATTATATTTGTACTGATATGATTCTTAAAATCATATTAATTCTTAATCTAGACATAAAATGGTGTGAGTCTTTATTAGCAATTAGCAAGATCGTTTAAAGTTATTTGTTTTATATGATTCAATGTTATGAGACCAGCTCTAAGTCTGTAGGAGAAAAAAAAAAGTTAGTTCTTTCTATACTATATACAAAATCATTCTTGCTGTTAAATCTACATTCCCTAATTTGGACGCTGTTCTGTCTACAGTTGTGCCATTTGGATATTATTCCAGTAATGACTTAGCTCAAATAAAGATACTGCCCTACTTTATTAGTAGTAGTTATAAGGGTACCTCAATGGTACCTCCATACATGTATTTCAGTACCTCATAGTTCCCAAGCTCATTCACTCCGGCCATGATCATGGATGCCAGGACCATGACAAGAAAGGTTGATGGTGAACAAGGGGCAGATTAGACTGCTACAGTTGAATGCCCTGATCAAGCCTGGCATCAGGAAAACATTGTGTGTCTCCCCTGTGATACACACAGGAAGTATACAGCACATCTACTAAGTATTCTTGCCAAAAAGCTGCAAGTGAATCTAACCATTTAGGTCTATTTTACAGTTTATTAGAAACATAGGGAATAGGGAAATAAACGAAACACCGTCACTGGGAAGCAAATACTGGGACGTTTATCAAGGTAGCCAGTTTTTCTAACAAGTTACTGGCATAAAAAATGGGGGAGAATGAAAATGTTCTTGATTAAAAGAAACCAAGAGTCGTAGTTAACAAAGTTAACAAGCAAGTGGATTCTGTGTGGATCTGATTTGACCAAACCAACTGCAAAAATGTCTATGTACATATTTTAATTCAACTGGGAACATTTGAACGTGAGAGGATATTAATGGTATTAAGGACCCAAATGTAATTTTGTTGGGTGTGATCCTATCTTGTTTATAAAAGAACACGAGACAAGGATAGATGGAGGTTCATCCTATAATTCTGTTTTTGTGTATGTTTAGAATCCTCAGGATCAACAGTTTTGTTAAAGTTCATTAACTCAACGAACATTTACTGACTCATCCACCACAAACGAACAGCTTTACAGATGCAAAGCTGAAGGTTATGACCTGGGGTAAGGAACTGATTGCATCATCCAAACATCAAAGCTACCCTGAGAAAGGTGGGAGCAAAATAATACTAATCCCAGTTTAGAGGTGAGAGAGCAGAGAGTTGGAAAGGGCAGGTGACATCCCCACAACTTACTGAGCCTTGTAAGTAACACGCACAACTAGAACTCAGGTCCTTAAAGTCTTTGAACGGATCCAGTATGACAAGCTTCAGTTCTTCACTCCCCAAATCTTATCTCAGCATCAACTGTTTCTTATGACCACGTAGCATTCATTCACTGTCATATGTCACGTAAACAAGTTGACAAGCACATACTCATATCTTCTCAGAAGAAGGACTCTCCAAGCCTCAGTCTGTGGTCCAATCTTTACAGTATCTTTTACTACCACATCTCAATTCCATTGACTATACCCAATAAAATCTTAGCCTAGAGTATCAATTGTCGAAAGGTAGTTCATGGACCTCTAGGGGTCCTAAAGACCTTGTCAGGGGTTCTAAAAGGTCAAACACATTATCGTAATAATACTAAGAGGTTATGTGCTCCATTTTCACTGTGCTCACACTTTCACTTTCACTGATGGTACAAAAGCCAAGGTGAGGAAAGCCACTGGAACCTCAGCCTAAATAAAAGTAATTTTTATTTACATCTCAGAGTTCACCGTCTTCTTCCCAGCAAGCACATGCAGAAAAAATAAAAACACCAGTGTCTATTCAGAAACTTTTTTTAAAAAAGATTTTATTTTTAAGTAAGCTCTCCACCCAACATGGGGCTTGAACTCACAACCCCAAGAGTTCCATGCTCCACCGACTGAGCCAGCCAGGCACTCCTCTTCAATATCACGATACAGTACAATTCCACTAAATCTCAACCCCTGAGTATTATCATCTTTTTATATTTGGTAGGATGAAATCAAACATACAAGCAGTTCTGCTACATAATGAACTATGATAGCTGTCTCCTATTTGGCAGACATTTTCTCAAAACTGAACAAAGCAACCCCATTAATGAAAGGAAAAGAGTAATATTTGTTGCCAATGATAAAATTCCATCCTTCAAGCAAAGATCAGACTGGTGATAAACTTGCAGCCATCACTGTGAACTTGATGGTTTCCCAATGCTAAAAGGTTTTTCTGGTCAATCAGTGGTGATATGTATCATTTCAAGAACATAACATGTAGAAGACCTATGTAGCTCAGCAAACCATGACAGTACAAAATCAACAAGTTTCAAGATTATGCATAGGCAAAAGATCTACAAGCAGAATAGTTCAGAAAAGATCTGGGAAATAGATCAATAGATTGTAATATACAAAAAAGTTCGTTGATGGGCACCTGGCTGGCTCATTGGTGGAGCGTGCAACTCTTGATCTCAGGGTTCTAACTTCAAGACCCAACTTGGGTGTAGAGATTATTTATAAATAAAATCTTAAAAAAAAAAAAAAAAAAA